CTGACGTCCCCCCCCCCCCCCCCCCCGCCTTTTGCTGCCTCTGTCTGATAGAGCCAGCCAGGCTGGGCGTGGGGAGGGGGGAGGATTGACTAGTCGACTTGACTATCCAATAAGCATTTGCTTATCGGATAATTGACTAGTCATCTATTCCTTAACATCCTTAGGTTAAAGGCAACTGCACCCTTTATCCTACCAACAGGGAACAATGTCAACAGGCAGCATCAAGCAATGCATGGAAGGGAAAATTCCACCTCCCCAGCACAAATCCCGTCAGCCCTAACAGAGGGCTTATGTGGCGCTCAGAACTCTTGGCGGCTCCTCTGCCTCTCAGTGGCTGCAGCAGCATGCTCCAATATAAGAAGCTGGGAGGGGAATATTTTAGCTGCTGTGATTTCTCTAGGACAAACCAGAGCTGGCAAATTAGTATGAAACAAGCAGCAAACTGGCTGCAGTAATCAAGCCAGTTGCTGCCCTGGCCTCCCAGCTCTCACTCCTATAACCTCCCAATTTGGCAAACAGATCATAGCTTAGCTCCTTGCAGAGCTTGGCTACCACTTCAACCTGGACAGGAGGTGGCACAGCTGAGCAGCCCATGGCTCGCCCCTGCAGAACCTGATCCTAACCTGAGTACCCAGCTATTACTAGTGTTAACATACACCCAGAGCAAACCTACCTCATAGGCAGATAGCTCCAGGAGCTCCGATATATCATCTTCTAGTTCAGACAGTGACTGGTTCACAACAGCAGCTGCTTGGGCAACATCAGGGTGATAGTGGCTCTGAAGGGCCTGAAGCACCAAGAAGAATGGTATGTTTAATAATAAATTCATTAGGCTTTCCCACCCTGACTGCTGGAATGCAACTCTCTGCACCAGCTAACACTGCAAGAATCTAATGCCTATATCCTCAAAAGTATTTACGTGATGTGCCAAGTGCCCATGGGAATTAGGCACTAAAATACCCTGAAAGACGGGGGCCTTACCGCCTGAGCAACATTGGGTGGATCTACTATTCTTCCCATTTTACCAATGATGCAGCATAATCCAACCTCTTGACATGTGCCATGCAGTTAGCAGCCCCTTAATCTAGGACACAATTTAGGGAGACACTGTGTAGGAACACTAGGCAGCATAGGCGGAGACTGACTGGAGAGAACTCCAGTGCACTGTCTACCTCCACCACAACTGAGGTCTGGCTCCTTCCCTGCCCAGAGGCATATTACAGTGCCAAGGGCTGCAAACGGTTCTACAACATAGCTTCGTGCAGGCTTCCTCCCTTATGCAAAAGTCCCAGGGTAAGCATTACAGCCATGAGGTAGAATGTAATATATTCTCCTCCTTCTATGAATCCATCAGAGACAGAGCTAGCAAATATATTCTATCTAGCAGTGCAAGTTGTGATGATTAGTGCAGGTAATATTTCAATCATTAGCTGGTGCTATAACCCCCAGAAAAATGTTAAACTGTTACTCTATGCATTGTAGTGCTATATAGTTGTTATTGCTAAATTCCAAAAGCGATCTACAAAAGGAGTTCAACCTAACTGATTATCTCCTAGGAGCTGGAAGATTATATAAGAATAAGTTGCCTTGGGATGTTGTGGAATCTCCATCTCTAGAGATATTTAACAGCAGGTTAGACAGATGTCTATCAGGGATGGTATGAGTATCTTAGGGTTACTCGAGAGAAGTCTGGGGGGGGTACATCAACGCAACAAATTTGGAGAAAACTGAATTTTTGTTTTAAGTTTTATAGCTCTTATTTTTGTACTTTTTACACCCAAAAATGTCATCACCCGCCTGGCTACGATTAAGTTGTTTAAACAAATGTGTTGCAATGATAGAAAAAAAATGGTATCTGAAAACTGGGGGTACTTTTTTTGTTGTTGTTAGCTTTTAAAAAAAAAAAGGTTGAGAAACACTGGTCTAGACGGTAGTGGGTCCTGGCCTGAGGGCAGGGGACTGGACTTGATCTCTCGAGGTCCCTTCCAATTCTAGTGTTCTATGATTCTAGAGACTCCCACAAGAGGATTCGAATTTAATTATCTTCTATTGGCTTTCAGTTCTTTGGAGCCCAACTGGATGCATCCGAATTAAACTCCACAAGGTTTTAGCGGAATCATTTTTTACCTCTGACCCTAGTGTTTTGCTTATTCACTAGAGAATATTTGCTATTCTCAGCACTATGCTTCGCAAGTAACAATGTGATTTTCTGACTGCGTGGCCAGACAGACTAACACTCAGGTCATTTACTCCACAGAACTACAGCCCAGCTCTTGTGCATGTGAAATTATTTGCCTCTTGCTTTTGGTTCCTACTGCAATGCAAGACAGACAATGGCCAGGAAGGCATCTGATTTTCAGCGATGTTCCTTAAAGTGACTCCTCCCCTTGTAAGATCATGGCGTGGAGTGGTAGGAGAATGGGCAGGAAGCAAAAATGGGAGTGGAGAGTAGGAGGGGGTCTCTGTGTCCTGCACTAGTCTCTTACTGAAGGACTTACCTTCAGCTCCCAGAGGGAGCTCTCCAAAGCCCTGCTTTCAGATGGCTCTTCCTCATCCATAATGTATGGATCTTCTGACAGATCTGAGTGAAAGAGATGTTAATAGGAATATTTAATAGCCTCCCTGAATGGGACACACAGTCCATGAGGGATGCATGGCAGCAGCAGAGAACAACAGGCACAGCTACTCTGGGACAAGAAAACATCTGACATGCCTGCAGATAAAAACTAAGCCCACAATGATATGACCTGGCAGATCTCAGAGCTGCTCGCACTCCAAATCAGGGCTTGCTCTGCTGAATGAAGCACACTGCCATGAGCACAGGAGGTGACTGGGGGAATTGGAGGCAACATGTCAAAATGGTCTGAAGTGAAGACCAGAGTCTCAAATGGTCCCATCTTGTCACTCATTGTGCAGGACCATCTACCACCAGTTCATAGAAAAGGCAATAAAGATACTGGGGGCTAATAAGCCAAACTTGGAAGGAGAAATCCTGGGAACCAAGGAAAGCCCGAGCTTATCTATTCGTATCCAAACAAATGTTTCATTCTTTATATTGAGCACAATAAAGTCTGCCCCAGGGCATCCCAGAAATAGATTGAAACAACTTAAAATACCTGCAGACATCGAGTATCATTATGTCAGTACAGTGCCATTAGCAGAGTGAGACAAGGCATTTGGTATGTGGATGTATTAGTCCTTGAGCCCATTCACAGCTGTCATTGCAGGTTCACATACTTGCCTCTAGTCATGGGCACTGCAGACAGCCTCAAACAGGGCATCCTGCCTCTAAGACAGAAGAGCAGATAGGGAGTCCTACCATCAGGGAAGGACTCTACAGGAGCTCTCTGCCTCTACTGGGTAGAAAGACTAAGAGAAAGACACCAGCAAGAAACAAAAACTGGCAGGAAAGAATCGGGGACCTTCAGTAGATGGACTATGTCATCCTACAAACAAATAAGGGACAGTAAGAACATGGCATCCTGCCTCTAAGACAGAAGAGCAGATAGGGAGTCCTACCATCAGGGAAGGACTCTACAGGAGCTCTCTGCCTCTACTGGGTAGAAAGACTAAGAGAAAGACACCAGCAAGAAACAAAAACTGGCAGGAAAGAATCGGGGACCTTCAGTAGATGGACTATGTCATCCTACAAACAAATAAGGGACAGTAAGAATATTCTGATCTTGGTTAATAAAACCCCAAGAAGGGACCTGGAGCTAGGATTTCACTTCCCCAGCTCACCAATCAGCCCATGTGTGAACACTTATAGAGCACTGCAAGTCCCCTGTCTGTTCCCGTTACCTTCAGGCCCGTCAGGTCTGTGCACAAGAACCTTGCAAGCTGGGTGCCTCCGGAAAAGATTGCAGATGAAGGGAATGACCATCAGCAAAGCCTGGGGAGGAGCAGTGAGGGCCAACCTGGCGAGGCGCTTTATGAATGCTGCCACCAGGTAAGCTGGCAAATGCCTGTTGGAAGATATCCAAGTGTCAAAGCCTTTGCAAGGGACCCAGCATTTGGGGGTTAGAGAGGCTTTGGGTTAGTTATGATCATGATGCCCCATGATCCTGATCAATTCCTCATGCCACCCACTCATAAGGCTAGTGCTGGCCCCTGCAAACAGTGATGACCCCCTCCTCACCATGCCACCCTCAGCTCTGTACTGCTGCGGGCAATGGTGTTGCCTTCCAAGCTAGGCACCTATGAGAAGATGACACGTTACACTCTCTAGCTGCCCAGAGGGAAAGATAGCAATACCACAACTCCCCTACAATAGCCAGATTTCATGGTCAAGAGCAGATCCCAAGGTCAAGAGCATACTCACACTCTGCAATGTGTTTTTCATGGGCATGAATTTGGTAGGACCCCTACTAATAAACTCTTATGTGGCCCCCTCATCTTTGAGCTGCATCTGTGGCTCCTCTTTATGGACATTTCTGGCAGAGACTGACTTGCAGCTTTGTACATGCTAATTTGCACAGGAAACCTTAAGTCTGGCATTTGCTAATTTGTTAGTGCTTGACTTTATGGAAGTTACAAAGTTCTTTAAATAAAGTTGTTTGTGTGTGAGAGAGATAAATGTATGTGACACTTTTCCTTATTTTTACTAATCAATTCCATTTTAAAGAATCCATCAGCCAATCTAGGCACTTCATCTGGATCATAGGAGCAAAGATTAAGGATGCTGCATTATAGCTACTCAGCCTTCTGATTTAATCCATGCCCTGCAATGCTTGACAAAGTCATCCAGAAATGCATTGCTTGCAATACCATATTACTCACCAAAAAAGATGCAAAAATCTTAAAACACAGAAATTCAGACTGATTTTCTAGTAGTAAGTCACACACAATGTTGCTCTGGGTTTATTGCATTACTGAAGTGTAATAGAAATGTAGCCTCAAATTAGTAGGTTGTTTATCTAGCTTCTGCCTACCATACACTGAACGGATAGCATTAAGAGAGGATGCTATCTGTGAAAAGCCAGAAACTTCTCAATGGCTTTGCAGGTCTGCGAAATTCTGCAAAGTGCTCTGTAGGCTACTCTTGCATACTTGCTACTAAAGCCATAGAGAGAATATATTTGCTCACTGTTTCTAGTTACCTGTTTAAAACAGCAGCAAAACTGAGCTTGCAGAACAGCGTTAGCTCATAAAGGACTTCAGATAACTGAATTTTTACCTTTTTAACCTATTCAAGCATATGAAAAATCTTCAAAAATGAAATAGCAAAATGTACTTATTGACACACATAGGGAATTGCTCGAGGACTGTCTTGGGTTGGATAGAAATGCAGGGGGAAAGAACTGATCATATATTACAAAACTGGCACTTACGATGACGACAAAAATAAATCGGCTAAATGGAAAAACCGGGCTCGGTACTTCACATGGTATATGGAAGGATCTAAGAGGCTGTACAGCTTCTTGTAGAAGTCAGGGTATTCCCTGTTAGAAAAAGCAAACAGATACTGCAAATTCTTGACTTAGAAGCACAGTGTCACTATGTGGCCAAGTTATATAGCGTTCCTCATAACCTACATTTAGACCCCATCCTTCTCCAGGGCACCCTCATTTGGCCTCCTATAATTCAGTTGCCAGATAGAGGCTCCTCTCCTCAGCCACCACCTTGTAAAATAAACTGGTGAGTTTTGTGCATGGCCAGCTGTGTCATGTGGAGTTCCCACTGGCTTCAGCTATAACCCCTGAAGTCAACAGCAAAACTCCCATTAATGACAATGGCTTCAGATCACTGACAGAGGCAATGCAAGCTCCCACCCACTGCAAACGTATCTTCACCTTTTTCTGGAAGGGCAGTTAAGTTTTCCTGTCCATTCACCCTTTGCCGAAACTGCTGACAAGGTAATGGTGGTTTTGCAATGGGGACCCCTGTTCACTGGAAAGTGGACTGAGATGGCATAAGTCACCAAGGGATGAAGACAGGAGTTGTGAAACAAAAAGCTCCAAAAAGCAAAGTGAACTCATTGATGGAGCAGCAGGGGGTGGGGATGAGAAGTGGTTGGCAGAAGGGCTGGTGCCTATTAAGTAGTGATATACAACCATAGAGAACACACAATAAAACAAGTGCTGAGCAAATTTACCCCATCCTACAACACACATAGGTGGTAATCTCCTTTTCTCCCCCTCTCAGGGATCGAGTCACAACTGGCATCTTTTCAGCTCAAGTCCATACAATGAGTACTATTTCACAATACATTGGGATACGTGTCCCAGATCTTACCACAACCAGCTCCGAAGCATGTGATACACACCTTACTAAAATATACTCCAATATTTTGTAATAACAGCCTCAAATCTTGCAGCATTTTGCACAAATGGGGCTAGATTTTCAAGTGCTCCACACTCATTTTCAGATGGGTTTAGGTTTTGCTTCGGCATTTAAAGTTAAGGGCTAAATTATCAAAAGGGCACAACACTCAATGGACTGGGTCCTAGTGCAGTACTTAGCTTTTTAATGAGGGAATTACAGAGCACAGGAAACTGGGGAATCTATGTCAGTATCTTTTATATGTAAGGGAAGAATTGCAAAACTCTTCCCAAACAAAGCACTTCCACCTTTAAACAAGATTTTTTTTTACTTACAGGTTATGCTGATGAATCAGAACAAATAACCCATTTAAGGCTAGGAGACTGATTGCTCCACCTATAAAAGAGCAAAGTGGTACAAGAGAATTGAGCAAAGCTGGCAATGCATCGCTGGTTTCTGCAGCAAATGTTAAGGACACAAAATCCAGAGCACTTGAAACTAAAGCAATTAACCTATGTGAACCCCTCCCACTGTACTGATTGGCTGTAAAATTCAAGGGATGTAAATTCAACTAATGGTTTCCAGAGACTCACAAATTACTTAAACAACTTTTTTTGCTACGGACTGATTTTAGCTATTGCTAAAGGACATGACCACAAAAAGGAGCTGAAACAAGCACAATGGCCTAATTCTGTCCCTCCCACCCACACACCAGGGCAATGTCTGGAGAAAAAAATTTCC